TGGCCCATATACATCTACATCGATCTTCGTTTGCAAATTAAAATGCAGATGCGTTATCAGCCGTGAGGTCTAAGATATAATGCCTCTTTTCCAGTAAAATGGGTCTCCAGTTCTCTAGATTCACCATACGAAACACAGCAGTGTTAAGCTGCTATTTTACGCCGGTATTCTTTTTTTTTATAGGATAGGGTGACAAACGAGCACACAGTCCACCTGATGGTAAGTGGTTACTGTGGCCCATATACATCTAGATCTATCTTCGTTTGCAAATTAAAATGCAGATGCGTTATCAGCCGTGAGGTCTAAGATATAATGCCTCTTTTCCAGTAAAATGGGTCCTCCAGTTCTCTACACTCACCATACAAAACACAGCAGTGTTAAGCTGCTATTTTACGCTGGTATTCTGTGAGAGCATGGTCATTCCCCGGTCGAGCCGACCCGTTAGTGCTACAACTATACTATTAATATAGCTGCAGCATGGCTCTACCACGTAAATTTTATTTATAAGTGATAGAGCCACATTGCTACTGCACTACCACAGCTATATTATGGTTGTATCACGAATAAGTTGGCTCGATCGGGAAAAGACCAAGCTCTCACATAATACCAGCATAAAATAGCAGCTAAATGCTGTTATTGTGCTTTGTATGGTGATATAGCAAACCGGGAATTTCCGGTATAGCAAACTGGAAACCCTTTTCACTGAAAACGCGAGGCATTCCATCTTAGTCGTCAGAGGTGACAACACATCTGCATTTTGATGCTTGGTCGAGGATAGATACGGATGTCTATGGGCCATAGCAATTCTATATCATCAGTTGTACTATATGCTCGTATGTCACCCTTATTCTATAAAAGGAAAAAACCTGGTTGATTTAAGTTTAGAAATTTCAGCTGTGTAGGCGGGGATCGAACACTCTTACTAAACTCAAGGAAAGTGCTCAGACCTGAAGTATCACTTGTCTCAGTAAAAATAAAATCAACATCATTACTTTAAGAATATAAAAGTAAAATATGAAGAATATTTCTCCGTCTTAGTCGAGGACGCTTCAGTTAAAATGCGTTGCATGTTCGCTTTGCCTCGTTCGACGATTTCGTTTGCTGAGTAAATATCAAACAATTTCCAGAGATAAATAAAATTAGCACTTACGTTTACGGATAGATTGAAGTTATATGACATAAGAAATTATTAAATTCGACTATTGTTGAATTAACCTTATCCTTATAAGAAATAATTAGTTATTCATTTATGGGCAATATATGTACACACGCCTTTAAAACAAAATCTGTATAAAATGGGTTATTATATTATTTAAAAATCAATTAAATATACCCTGGGAATGAGGTGATCGCTATCATGCAGGTTCTGTTATAATTCATATAAATCATTAAAATTAATGTACTAAATAATGACAATAAAATTATTGTAAAATGATATCTGTCTACAACCCTAGTTCCGCTGGGTTTCTTGATGGTGCTTTCCAGAAAAGAGGTATTTTCCGAACCAGTGATAAATAAAATAATCGACTTTCAAGAGGTATTATGATATAATCTCTTTGGAGTAAAAAATATTATATTTTGCGGCAGAATCAACTTAAAATCTAAAGGAGAGGAGACACATCAATTGGACTAAAGTAGGACGTATAGGCTATTACGTTACTTGGCATTTGCCAATGATATTATATGTAGAAAGGTGTAGCTAGATAGACTCTACATTCTCAGCGAGTGGTACGCGCCCTCAATGGTAGCAGGTCCGCGACACACGCTATGGTAGATTATAAGAAATGTTGGTATAAAATTATACAATTTTTTGCTGTTTATGTCCTCAACAAGTGCAATTATTTGCGGTTGACGCTGCTGAGGTCGTAAATCGCAGGCTTGTCCTGAGACTTTACTGGTAATCAATTCATATCAAATGACTCGCCTTGTATCCACCTAACTTGTTACTATCTCCCGCTAAGTTTGCAGGCGTTACTGTCTCCGAGGTAGGCATGAATCCACACACAGAACTGCCGTCTTGTGAAAATAAAAAAATAAATGCAATAACAGTTCCTCTACCGCTGCGAGCATGGGTAAAGATCGCTCCACGAGTTCGTAGCGTTTTTGTTAATTAACCAACCTGTCCTCACTCGTTTCATGCGGGGTATACGCAGCAACATATACTTGTCTCAATTTCGCTCCCTATAATTAGGCAAGTCCCATTTCACGCGTCACTTAATAATTTGTGTGACGTCACAATATTACATAATTTATGTGTGCGTTATTGAGTCGTTTGTGAACACTGCATGCTGTGTAGTTAACCGTTTTACTTACTATTAAAAATGGGTTCGCAATTGGACTTTCCATATTTGTACTACGTTGATATAATTCGCTTCAAACCTCTTTTCGTTGAAGTATTTATTTTCAATTTGCTGGGCAATGGCTCTATTCACATTTTCCAAGTCACGAAGCACAACATTTATACTTAGATAACAGGGAGTGTTCGTTTTTCGAGTTCGCCTATTGCAATTTATACTGCACTATTCAGGAACATCTTGAAGAAGTTTTTTTATATGATATATGGTTATTTATTACTGTTTATCATAGATAACACGAATTTTTAGAGTAAGACAGTCCACCTGATGGTAAGTGGATGCTGTGGCCTATAGACATCTACATCTATTTTTGACTGAGAATCAAAATACCGACATTTTGTTACTTCTGAGGACCAATATCAAATGTCTCGTTTTTAATAAAAAGGATCTCCGGTTCTCTACACTCACCATATGAAACAGCAGCAAGATGCTGATATTCTGCGAGAGCCCTTCCTCGGTCGAGCCCACCCATTCGAACAACCATAATATACCTGTAGCATGGCTCTACCATGTATAAAAACGACTATGGGAAAGGCCTAAAAAATCTCATGTTAACCAATATTTGTCAGTATAACGAACTCGTACATGTTCTTCATCATCCAGCCCATAAAAGTCCACATGCTTAATTGTCATGCTTGGCAGGTGGATTGAAGTTCGCAGTAGCAGACGTCTCGGACCAGTTACTTTGCGCCAGACGTAGACGGAATGGTTATTCTACCATCTGGTGGAAGCCATAAGGTCTTCTTGGCATTGTACGTGATACAGACATTACAATTATTATGGTTGCAGCACGAATGAATCGGCTCGACCGGCGAACCACGCTCGCTCTGAATGAAGTGAACCGTAGAAAGTTTTTATTAGTAGGTAGGCATTTTTATCTTCCATCGAGGATAAATGTAGGTCTATCAAGTGGACAGTATTGTTTTCTTTTTCTCCCAGTAATTCTCAGTACTGGTACACATTGGTACTTGAATTACCGATGTGTCTGCAATCGTTTTCCTTAAATGGCAAAAAGTGGTGACCAGCGGAGATTCATTCGATTCGAATTGACATTATTTGACTAATGAAATATTCTTCTTTACGTTTTTTTACGTTAATAAATATATATTTCATTTTATTTTATTCCAAATATCTAAGTATCTATTTATAATTATATTGTAACTACATTATATATATATATATATATATATATATATATATATATATATAATTACATAAATTATTATAACTACAACACAACCTTTACTATCAGCTCATTTAAGTAACAAAAAGACACAATATTTGATACTAGCGACCCTCCCCGTTCCGCCTGGACAGAATATATTCATCTGGCGTTATTTAGATTAAAGATAATAGAAGATCATTTATTTTATCAACTTTTAGTGGTTTTTTTAAATGTCGAAGTTTTTCAGATTAAATATAGCCTAGAATTGTCTCTTAGAATTGCTCTCTATCCGCTCGTATCACAATCGGTTCAAATATTAGTCCGGACAGATAGACAGACAGATAAAATGTTTAAAAATAGTTAATAATTTTTAAAGTTAAATTTAGGGCCTATATAGGTCCCACTGTTGGACACAGGCCTTCTTTCATTTCTGCAAGGGTTTTAGGGCAAGGGAGTATCCACCGCGCTGCCCCAATGCGTGTTGGCAAACTTCACGTCTTCGAAATATTTTTGTTATTATTTCTCAGGTTTCCTCACGATGTTTTCCTTCACTGCCGAGCAAGTGGTATATTATGTCTTAATAGAAAGCAAACATACCTCCCCAGCTAACAGAATTATTTCAATATTACAGACACATTTAAATTTTATTTATAAGCATAGATAAACATTTTTCTTTTTGCGCTAGTGTACTCGTATAAAAATATATCCATTAGTATTCTTCCCAATCGACTTTTATCAAAGAAATTGCTCCTTTCAAACAGCTTTCACGTATTTACGTTGCTTTATTTGCATTTTATCAGGCTTTGAGCAACGCTTTTCAAATAAGGGGACTTAAGACTGCGAAATATAGTTAGGTACGTTATGCCGCTGGTTTGTTTGATGTTTTCTCTTTGCTTGTACATTGAATTTATACAAATAAATAAAATTGAAGTGTCTGTGTTTGTAATGTCAAAATAACAACTTTTTACTAAACATGTGAAAGTATATACAGTCAGTAATTGTGTTCTGTGTATAGTCAGGTGGGGTAAGGTTATCACCGGGCACGATAATAACTGTTTAGTATCTCGATAAGTATAGTTTTCTTACGAAACTTTTTAGTCGGCAAAAGAGTTCATACGTAAAAGTTCCCGGATCAAAACACCGATTATGCTACTGCAAGTAAATATGGCGGAACAACGTCATTTATAACTCTTACAACTAACTCTGCTTCTTCCAAAAGAAAAGCAAAAAGCTAAAGCTTCTATTTTACGCTGGTATTCTGTGAGAGCGACCGAGCTCGGTCGAGCCGACCCATTCGTGGTTCGTGCTACAATTACATACAATATTTTATTATGCGAATAACTTTATTACTATCTTTCATTAGTTGTGATTGTTACCGCGCATTTGATACGATTCGATTTACAAAGCACGTCACAGTAAAACAGAACCGTTAACACGCTCAATTCAAACTGAATGGAGAGAAAGGAAACACATTTTAATACAAAAATATCACATTTTATTATCAATACATTGTATGTTAGTAAATATAATTTTCTACGTACTTACATCACATTTGACGATAAACAATGATCCTTATAATATAATGAAGTACTAAAAAATTGTTCATATATATTTGTATTTATTACTACTTACACTTTACATTCACCAAATTTCGTGGTGCGAGACTGCTGGTGATGAGTTTTATAGTATGCAATATTTGAAAAACAACATACAGAAACATAGACAAACAAATCATTACCATTGCAGCCTATCCAAAGTCCACAGCAGAACATAGTCCTCCCGCATATATTGTTCTATATAGGGGGTGTTATTTGACATCATTGCAACAATTGGGAAGCGGGTTAGCAACCATACTTTTTTACTTTTATTTAGCTAGTCTTTAAATTTTGAATATAGCCGATTAGCTGATGAATGTGAAAAGTACGTGATAGGTATATATTAAAAAAAGTTATACAATTTTTAAAAAAAAATCACTTGTCTTTATTTAATTTGTTATTAATTTTATGCTTTATTCAAGAACGAAAACAACAAAATGCTTCTAAAATTGCGTATGTCACGACACGATGGTATTATGAAAACTGGCGTTCACAGAATAGACTTTTTGCATAGGTACTAGCCTCTTCACACTAAATTAATTGCTTCATTTTTACAAAGAGAAGTGCCTCAGTGCTTAAGTTTAAGTCAGTATTTAAATCATATATTATAATGTATGAAGTTAAATTAATTAATTAATTAAACAAAGAATGAAATAATAATAAAACACTAAATGAAAACCTCAGCAGTTAAGGACAATAATCAATAATAACCCGGCCGTTTATTAATACAGATCCATCGTGCGCAATCTATTTTAAGTCCGTCTGCGACACAACCTATAATTTATTGACTGTTACTAGTTTCTATAGTAACCTTAATATCTATTGCTGCTTGAAAATCAAAAAGCCCATAGTCAATGTTTTCATAAAACCTCGTCCAATAAGTGAAAGAGCATGTTTGTTTACATAATAACATAATATTTATTGTGCGTCCAGTTTTTCTTCTATAACATTTTATCACAATTTATAGTTGTATACAGTCACTCATACAATATAATTAATTTGAATTTGATAACTGTTAAAAAACAAGCTAAGCTTCATTCCTATACCGGATGTAATAAGTCAAAAATATGTATTCAAAATTCGTCACCAGGTTTTGGATATGTACGGTACACTCTGGGCAATCAACGAGTTTTTATATCAGATTGGCCTATTAGTCACTTAGTTTTATGATTTTTTCATTGACGTAACCAGAACAAGTGGAAAAATTAAAAATTTTGTACAACCGACTTCAATATAAATTATTAAGGATAACTCAAATACTACTGGATAAAAAAAAATAATCATCAAAATCGATTCACCTAGAAAAAGTTATGAGGTAACACAAAAACAATACAGTCGAATTGAGTGCCTCCTCCTTTTGAAGTCGGTTACAAATTAGACTACACACCAAGGCAATACCTTACAAAAGTTTCAACCAATTAGAGGTGTCATAAAAAATTTAATTAGAGTTCTTAAAAACTTAAACAAACAATTGCAAACATTATGAAATGCTATCTTAATAGAAGACTTTTGTTTACACAATCCTATTTAATTTAATAGCCTAAAGTTCATCTTTGTTTCTCCTGCGCTTTAGCGCCAAGTCGTCGTGTTGGAACCAAGTGGCGTACACCCGCAGCGGGTCGGGGGACGAGTGCCGGTGGAAAGAAACCGGCCGGTCCCGAGCCAACACTTCCCGCGCGTAGTCCTGTGGCCGCGCCTTAAGATAATAAAAAAAAAACTAAACTTCCTGAAACGGACATAACTATTTACCTCATATATTAACAGAGGTTGGTCACCCCTGAGGACTAATATGGAATGCCTCGTTTTCAGTCAGGGTGTCCGAATATTTACATTCAATCACCATACGAAACACGCACTGTATAACTGTATGCTTCTATTTCACGCTAGTACTCTGTAAGAGCGTGATCCTCGCGTAGTCGAGCCGACATATTCGTGCTACATTCATAATATAACTACTGCGCGGATCCACCACGTAAACATAACAAAAAAAATTGTTTAAAAAAATACTAGCCCCAGTCGCGCCGAAGGTACTCCACATTATAGAAAATTTTAAAGAAATTAATGTATTATCTTTCACCTCAGTATATTTACGAAAGTATGCAGAACTTATCTATGAAAAAGTTTAAAATTTTAACGAAGCAAAATTGTTTAATAAGAGTTATTATACTACTAGAATACATGATTGATTATAACCTATGGGAATGAGGTGATCACTATCATGCTGTTTCCAAATGTTTACATATTTAATTGTACAACATATTATATTGTAAATTATTGTTTTAAAGTGTCACGCTGAGTTTCTTGCTGGTTGGCAGGACAGAGGCTTTTTCCGAACCAGTGGTATAAGACTTTTAATACCTAAGTAAGTATTCTTGTTATCTTTATTTAATAAAAAGTACTCTATTCTATTTAAAGACTTCTATGTATACTACTACACACGGGCTCTGCGGCCTTAATACACTGTGCAATAAGTTACGGTCAATTCTCAGTAACCCTATAGTCGACTGCGAGCGAATGACAAGTTTTTCATTTTGTAAATCGCGAACGTTGTTTTCGACTATCTAGCACTAATTTTGTGTTAATGTAATCTCACGCTGTCATTATTTATGTGCGCACTGATTTGAAGTTTATATCAGATATGTATGTAACTTTATTTCGTATTTGCAACAAAACAGTAACTGTCGTAAATGAAAATACAACTGCCCTCTTAAATTTATCCATCTTGCTGCCTGCCCACAGATATGTTTAACACATTTCATAGCGTGGAAGTTAATTTGTTAGAAAAGTATAGAGAGTAATGATTTTTTTGGCATATGCAATATATATAATTATACTATAGAAACTATATGAAAATACGTATATAAAATATGTATATACAATATACATATACTTAGTTGTTCTAGAAACCGAAAAACTTTCAATTAAATCGCAACTCTTCAATGATAATACCATGTGACCATGTTCTTTCGCGAACAGAGGTATTTTAGGAACCAGTGGCAAAGAAAATACACACTACGCGAAAAGAAACGACACTTCTTCTTCACAAGAAAGAAGCATGTGTGCACGTAAAATCGCTTGCGGCTATGTATGCGTGTCTGGATGTGTGCGGAGGCCTTGAGAGGCGCGCGGGGCGTGGAACGGGCCGTCGCCGACTGCCCTGGCTGAGGGCTAGTACGATATACAGTAATCTATGACGTAGTAGTTCGCGTCTCCTCTCTAATCTCACGCACCACACGCAGACACAGACTGACTGCGCTTTATACAAAAATAATGCCTATTCATTTGTATATAATTATTCTAATTTAGTTACAATATTTTTTATATGTATGGCACATTTATGTTATATATAATAGTTTTAAAGTATATATTTGTACTTTTATATATTTATATTTATAACTATATCTACATTATATATATATATATATATATATATATATATATATATATATATATACATATATATATATATTAATATGTATTTATGTATTTATCTTATCTATGTACTTATATACCATTCTATATTTCTATTTTATGGCTTTAATAAAAATAATGTTATTTTTGTCGCCAAACCACACACGTTTTTATTGTTTTCTTCGATCTTCTGAGATCGCTCTTAGCGATAAGACCACCCACTGTTGTACCACATTTATTTTTTTCATTTTTTGTTAATATTTATATTATTTTTGGCGTACAATAAAGTGTTATCTATCTATCTATCTATCTATGCTTTTCTATGGATTTTCTAAAAAAAATATACATACGGCTACGAATTTTTGCAATTGTTAGAATTAATAATAAAAAATTATAAAAGTCATCGAAAAAGCCAAAAATATATAATAGTAAGTAATTTTCAAAGGGTTGTAGGTAATACTGATTATTGCGTACTGAAATACTAAGTATTGGTTAATTATTTAAGAGTACCATTAACTGTCGTGCATATTTTGTTTTGTCGAAAATTTTAATTTTCCCCATCTGTAAAGATATTTATAAAAGTTAATTTAAAATTGATCATATATTTCACTACCTAAATACATAAGTTTACATTATATAACATATACCTACTATGTATCTTCCTTCGCACAAGTCTATAATATTCCATTTCGGTTCGGTATCAACCCTGGCGTTACACGCTCCGGCTTAATGTCACCGGCGCTTGAACTCTCACGTACATAGAGTGTCACCGCTGTGCCAGGGTTAAATTAAGCATAACAGTGACTTTCACTAAGCATTATTTATATCTATATTGAATAAAAAAGTTATTCTATTCCTGGTACCTGGTGGAAGAGCGGCGAGTGCGCGAGCGTGATGTTGCGGCGTCGTGCGCACGCTACTCTATGACGTACCTGGTGGAAGAGCGGCGAGTGCGCGAGCGTGATGTTGCGGCGTCGTGCGCACGCTACTCTATGACGTAGCTGGTGGAAGAGCGGCGAGTGCGCGAGCGTGATGTTGCGGCGTCGTGCGCACGCTACTCTATGACGTACCTGGTGGAAGAGCGGCGAGTGCGCGAGCGTGATGTTGCGGCGTCGTGCGCACGCTACTCTATGACGTACCTGGTGGAAGAGCGGCGAGTGCGCGAGCGTGATGTTGCGGCGTCGTGCGCACGCTACTCTATGACGTACCTGGTGGAAGAGCGGCGAGTGCGCGAGCGTGATGTTGCGGCGTCGTGCGCACGCTACTCTATGACGTAGCTGGTGGAAGAGCGGCGAGTGCGCGAGCGTGATGTTGCGGCGTCGTGCGCACGCTACTCTATGACGTACCTGGTGGAAGAGCGGCGAGTGCGCGAGCGTGATGTTGCGGCGTCGTGCGCACGCTACTCTATGACGTACCTGGTGGAAGAGCGGCGAGTGCGCGAGCGTGATGTTGCGGCGTCGTGCGCACGCTACTCTATGACGTACCTGGTGGAAGAGCGGCGAGTGCGCGAGCGTGATGTTGCGGCGTCGTGCGCACGCTACTCTATGACGTACCTGGTGGAAGAGCGGCGAGTGCACGAGCGTGATGTTGCGGCGTCGTGCGCACGCGCCCAGCGTCATGTCGTCGGGCGCGGCACGTGTCACGCACGCGCACGAGCTGAGCTCCCGCGCCGCACCCACGCTCAGTACCGTCCCGCCCCCGCCAGTTATGTACTCGTAACCTAGTGGTACAGTTAGCAACATTCAAATTCATTTATTTGTGAATGCACTGTATCGGCACTGTCGTCGCGCCACAAGCGAAACACATCGAAAGCCTAAATCGCACTAACAAAGTTCCGAAGTTAAGCAGCATAATATATAGAATAGCTCCGAACTACCAATCGGAGCGTTGGCCGCTCCCCGGGCAGAAGACCTTGACACCTTGCCCGGCGGGAGATCTCCCCTTTTCTTTCCACCGGCTACAGCACTTTTATTTATTTTTTAATATTAGCATAAAGTAACGTATAGTAAAAACCAACGTCGAGATATGTCAAAATGTGAACTTTGTTAAACCCATAAAATTAACTTCCAACTAGGAAGTTTAATACGTTATAGTTATGGAACAAAGTGTACAGTGGAGTTAGTTACCTTTGGCCGCAGTCTCTATTTTGCCGTAGCCGTAGCCGTACCTCTCGCCGATAACAGTGAGGTCCTGCCCACCGCGGTAGCAGCTTAATACTTCGCACAATCTCTGCACGCTAAAGATCAATCAATATTATAGAGTCTTTACTAGTATGAGGCAAGACAACGTAAACGTCAATTTTATATATTTCATCTTTATTGAACCTTACAAACTGTATAAGATACAGTTTATAAGGTTCAATAACTCAAAACTCATACTTAATGCTAAAAGCGTTATGTGTCAGTCAACCTTAGGGCACTAGGCCACCAAGGCATTTAACTTTAGTTTTATTTTCTGCCACTGGAGTGCTATAATTTTACATCGTAACAGCTTAACTAGCGGTGTAGCTATGCATGACATAATCAAATGCCACCTTTGTAGAATCCTCCAAAGATATATATATTTAAAAGTGACCCCTTTGTTACAGCCACTTCTCAAATTAAAATATTCCGCATTTTTGGTCAATCTTATTGACGAATCAGATTTCCTCTATAATACCATTCATTCATTCCATTCATTCCTTCTTGCGACCGACAATCGGGTAGAAGAAAAAGTCTAAGAAAAAACACACGCGCACGCGGAAGCATATTGTGTCACGCTTGCTACTCGCATATCTATTTAATTATCATACGCTAAAATCACGGCCGTGAATTGTATAAAATAAGCGTAAATCGCGCAAGAAAACTAGGAGTGTACCACGCGAGTGTCAACCTCAAGTAAGAAGGGAAGCTGACGGCGTTCTCCAGGCCGACCTATAAAACTGAAGGTATAAAACTGAAGGACCCTTCAGTTTTATAGGTCGGTTGCAAATTTCAACGAAATCTAATTCCAACTACCTATTACAGTCCATTTTATTCCAATTTTGAACCACGCGTCACCACCCTCAGAAGCAAAGTGTATATAATCACTACGTTTACTCGGAATCATAGATAAGAGTGCTCAGAACAATTCTTTTTAGTTTCGTTACTAAACTATGCTTCTCTAAATTAAGAGAATTTACGAGTTTCCACCTTTACCTACGCGTCGCGTTTACTTCATATTCTTTAGTCTGTTTCCTTCGCCGCATGTGTGAGGCAACTAGAATATTTAGTGAGTACATTTAAGTGGATACAAAAGAAAGTTTGTTGTTAGTTTTTATATAAAAGGTAAGTAATTAAGGGTAAATATTACGGCGAAGTTGTTTTCAACAAAAATGGCGTTGGTCAAAGATAGCGTAATAAAGTATATGCCTATGATTCTTTATGTTCTTTATGTAAATCGAGTGTTTCTATGTCCCTGTTTCTTTATTCATAGTAGTTATTTGATTTGAACATATTAGATATTGCAACATATGGGGATTCGTTAGATTTGCCTTAGTTGTAGAAGTGACATATAATATTTGTTTTTTTTTTCTTTTCAGTCAACTTGTTTGGTTTTGTTATTTATTACTGTTTTAACCAGTAAACTTGTTTACGCAACTTTTGTTTAATAAATTGTTTGATGTTGATGTTTGATGACTTCTTCTTCATACGAAATTATTTTTTCAAATAATAAAATTACCCCCTCCCTCTCCTCACAGTTGCTTACCACTGCTGGCTATGGACTATGAAAATAAAGGGGAGCACAAAATTTTAGCCACAAATATCGCCCACCTCGGCTACGCTGCCCTAAACATCGCACGGAGCATCCGCGTTCCACCGAGATTACCACATTTTTTTCTTATCACTATTACAACAAACACCGTTACAGCCTATAACAATCACTGCTGAACTCAGGCCTCCCCTATATATATATATATATATATATATATATATATATATATATATATATATATATATATACTAAGACAAATATACCCTCAAAGAGGGTATATTTGTCTTAGTCGTCAAACTTGGCAAGCGGGTTGACAACCGCAGTTTTTTTTTTTTAATCGTTATTAGGAAGACGCTGCTGTCCATCTCCTGATTTATTTCCCTCTGTCGCCTTTAGACACGAGTGATAAATAATATCACAGTGAAAAAGTCACCGTGATCAGCCTAAAAGTCACGATGACTAACTACGTTCCAAAATGACGTCGTTCCTTCGCGCCGCCGCCGTATTTTTTCTCCGTTACTTCTGTCACTGATTTAACCAAACAAAATTAACCATGCTGATCAGTTGGTGTACTGGAACAGTACACCAACTGATCAGCTAGATTAGGTGAAATTCGTATATTTCAAAAATAATAATTCGAATGGTACTTATAACATAATCACGTAGCTTAGGTAAAGAAGGTAATAAAAAAATCGACTACTGAAATAAAACCTAATACTAAATCTTAAATACATATTTAAAGTCACTTTATAAGTCGTTCTAATGTTCCAAGTAGATAGCCAACGTTATCAATGTGACAAAGTCACAGTGATTTTTTACTATGACTTCTTTGTAACCGCAACCACGGTCACGGTTGTTTAAAAATAAAACTATTTGCCAAGTCTAGTCGCCTCTTACGAAACCCACGGAATAATATTAATATTCATACACCGCCACTACACGGTAATTGATAATTTCTCAAAACATTTTATTTATCGACAACGTCCTGCAATCTTCGTTTCTCTAGGGCTCACTTGATCTTAATACAAAGTAAGTAAGTAAAGTTGCAGCCTATTTACGTCCCACTGCTGGGCACAGGCCTCCTCTTATTTCTGAGAGGGTTTTAGGGCAAGGAAATGTCCGCCGCGCTGCCCCAATGCGTGTTGGCGAAGTTCACATGTCTTCGAAATATTTGTTTTTTTCTTATTTCTCAGACATACAGGTTTCCTCACGATGTTTCCCTTCACCGCCGAGCACGTGGTAAATCAGCACTTAAAATTGCAATTAACAATTTCATTGGTGCCGGTGGGGATCGAACCCGGGTTGCTCGAGTACTGTGAATCTTACAGCGAGCGCTAACCATCTGAGCTACCACGGCTCTCTTCATACAAATAATTCAATATTTTAACTGTTGATTTTTTTTTGGATGAGAACATAGTAATGAGTCTAATTTATATTTACATTCATTTAAAAAAAATATTGTCCTTAACCTGACCTACTACACTCTTTAGCTTGACCATAGGTGTAATATCGGGCTATGACATAAAATCTTATTTAAAATTCTACAAAAACTCACCCCAGAATAGTATCGTCATCAGCTAAGAATATCCATTTAATGTGCGGCATTTCTTCTACCATTTTGACCGCACGTTTCAATATGGCTACAGTTTTGGCACAATGTCCGGTTTTAGTGTTTGGTACGCCTATATCTATTGTTGGAATGGATGGATCTGAAACGGCGTCACAGACAAATAATAATTTGGTAATTTACCGTATCATTAGTAGATCGACAGAGACTATTGTAACTGTCTCTGTCGATCCATTAATGATAAATGAAGATTAATAATAAATTGAAATGTAAAAATTGAGTTTGCGAGATAGTGAATTTTAGCAGTCCACCAACAATATGGCCTAAAATTTTACTTTTTGTAGTGATTCAATACTTAATTGTAGGTTATCCGCTAAAATTAGATTTGAATTATATAGAAATATAATGATTTCTTATATTTACGCGAACACTACATATTAAATGAAACTAATTTTTCAGATTTTATCGCGTTTAGTTTTAACTTTTTCATTCCCGACGTTTCGGGAAGGATCTGAAATAATGATCTTTTATACTTTTTTTAATACGTCCCAAACACATATATGAAGCTTGGTAGAGTAAACGGGATGCTATGGGTGTTTTTTTGTATTCAACCTAAGGCGTTTCATTGTGTAAATCATGATACACTATCAAACAAATGAAGGCATTATAGTTTCTCAAAAAAAATCACATATTTCACCGGTGGCGATCAAATTAGGCAGAAATTTCGAGTAATGAATATTAAGGCGTAAAGTATATTAAGGCGAGCGCTCATCCCTATCGCTGCGGCTTTCATATAATGGTATTCCCATTTCTAATTGAAAACTATCGCTACGTTGATTCCAAAACTATCACTCACCAGCTTCATCGCTAAAAAAGTACAGATTCGAGACATGTTTGCCCCACGTCTTCTTCACCACCTTAGTTCTCGTCGAGTGAAATCCACTCCAGGTCTTCACGGCGAAAAAAATTGTCTCCTCAGATATGGGACTACCCTACCGAAAACTTTACATTTTAAAATCCTTTCATTCAACGAATCCGTTATTACATATATGTACCTATATATAATTACCAGAATTAAATGTTATTCAATTGAAAATTGTAATGAAAATTCATCAACCTATTTGGTGTGGACGAGGTAGAACCATGCTGTAGGTATATTATAGTTGTAGCACAAATGGTCGGCTCGACCGGGATCTGTACCCTCTCACAGAATACCAGCGTAAAATAGCAGCTTAATGCTGCTGTGTTTCGTGTAGTGAGTGAAGAGTACCAGACCTTTTTCAACTTGAAACGACGCATTTTAGTCCTCAGGGGTGACAACGCATCTGCATTTTTATTTTTAATCGAAGATAGATGTAGCTGTCTATAAGATCGCAGCAATCACTAACCGTCTGTGATGGACTGTGTTCCTGATTGTAATCCTTATTATATAAAAAAAGTGTTGTAAGAGGCGGTGAAAGTAAACGCCAGAAAGATCATATGGGTTCCAATGGATTACTGTTAACTCATCTTGCTAAAGCCAGACGTGTCATGACCTGACGGCAAGCATAGCCAGAGGTACGGAACTTCTGGTACTACTTTCGCTAAACCATCTGCCAAGCAAGTCGAATAAGGTGTGTACCTTATTCGATAACGGAGAGATCCATATCCAGCAGTGGAATTTCAAGGTTTGATGAAAAAGCGGAAGAAACCTCGATTACTAATATACTAGACGCACAATCCCATGCAAAAGTTCTCTAAAAACTGTCGCCAATTGTTATGACGTAATTCTAGTTGAAATAAATATACCTACATTGTTGTAAATTCAACCGTGAACGCATTTCCTAAAGTTGTATTCACAAAGCTTTTTTTTTTATAGTATAAGGGTGACAAACGAGCACACAGTCCACCTGATAGTAAGTGGTTGCTGCGGCCCATAGACATCTACATCTATCATCTGTTACAAATCAAAATGTAGATGCGTTGTCACCCGTGAGGACTAAGATGGAATGCCTCATTTCCAGTAAAAAGGGCCTCCGGCTACCTGCACTCACCAAGCGAAACGCAGAGGTAAACCTCTACTTCACGCTGGTTTTCTGTGAGGTCGTGGTACTACCCCGGTTCGAGCCGGCCCATCCGTGCGACAGCAAAAGCTGCCGCGTGGCTCTACCACTGTTACGCACAAACCCAAATGTTTGAGTGGGCGCTCATTCAGTAAGGACGTTTTTGTCACTGATTGTGTATCTAGTGTCTAGTGTTATTAGTGATCGATGGGAAGAAACAATTTAATAAGTAACTAATAATTAATAGGAGTCTTTTTCTGCCAGGAGTCCGTCTGTGTAGGCGCCACCCTTTTACCTATTTCTGTCGCCAAATATTGTTTTTATAAAACTGAAGTGACAAAGGAACTTACAATTTACCATGCTAAGTGGATACTGCAGACGTTGGATACTGCTGTGTTCCGATCTGGACGGTATAGAGAACCAGTATGAAGCTATAGGCAGCCAGGTGTGAGGCATCTTAAACTTATATGAGACAACGTATTTATACCCTTCTTTATTTGAGTTGGTTACAGATGTTCACGGGCCGCAGTAGCCACTTACCATTAAGTGGACTGTAGGTTAGTTACTCCAGTTTCATAAAAAAAATCAAGCGATAGGAATTATATTCCGCCTTGTATTTCGTCAGGTTTGGTAACACACTCTGACCTACTTTTACAGCCAAGTAACAGTTCGCTCATGTGTTCCGGTTTAAAGGTATATACGGGGTGGCGATAAAGTTATCACGTTAAATGAAAAGACTTATCCTGTAAAACGTTCTTTGAACATACACAATTAATAACATATATAACAATTAACATTCTAGTCTCAATAGACCTTTTTTTCGTTTTTTGCCTAATTACTTATGAATGGGAAAGTGTAGGAAAATAATTACCTATGTCCATGCCGCGTGAGCACTGCGTACCTGCCGCAACGTTGCCGCTGTTACATCTCACTTCTAGCCAGTAAACTAATATTATCAAGGTGATTTATTTCGTGTTAATTTTTAAGCTATTTATTTTGTTTGAAAGATGCATTTTTTTATTTTTGGTAGAATTGTTTATTTTATTATTTTAATCGACATATATCAACTTGTATATACCACGTGTTACTTAAGGCGCAGGTTGAGCAAAATGTCGCGCTAGTCGTTATTTGGGCGGTTTTTAGGAGCTATCTGCTTTTTATTTAAAAGATATATCAACAAATAAAAAACACATTATATTTCTACATAATCTTGATTCCATAAAAGCTATATCCAATTTTTTTTTAAAGGAATAAATATTAATATAATCTCCTTACAACGAAACCACATAAATGTGAAATTATTATTGATAACATGCATCTCCTCGTAAAGTAAGTATTATTTTATTTTGCGATTTACACCAATGGATAGGCAATTTATTAATAAATATTTCTATAGTAAATTTTTTTTCAAAAGACCAAAATTTGATTTTATTAAGAAATTATTTTAAAATCTGGGCATATTTACTGCTCACGGGCTTGCTGAAGTCAGTGAGCGCTGAGCTCTTCGACGTGAAGCCCGTGTCGTTAGAGCGTCGACCAACGCATACGCCACGTCATATGAGTCGATAATATTATTTATTACTTATTAGGTTATTTATAGGTAGTATTATTTGTTTGTTTTGGGTATAATTTTTCGTATTAGTTATACATATATTTGTTGTGTTTTTTACTGCGCGATGAAGATTTTTGCGTGTATTTTCTTTGAAGTAAATGCAAATAAAAAAATGAAGCACCATTAGTATGTAAGGTTCGAATCCATAATTAAAATTTCGACAAATATTATAATTTACACTATAAAAGGCTAATTCAATATTATCACCCAACCACAATATCTTATCAGGTATAGTACTGCCTCGTTGGTCTAGTGGTTGTAGTAGTGCGACTGCTGATCATGAGGTCCCGGGTTCGAATCCTGGGTCGGGCCAAAAAGTCAGTTATGAGTTTTCATTTATGTTCTAAGTTATAATTAGTATTTCTAAGTTATAGTTTTTTTGCTAAAATATAGTATATTATTTATTGCTTGTTTTTTCTTCTTTTTCAAAAAATAATTGAGTACATAAGGTGTTCTATACTTATAACTCGGTAAAAAGTACTAATATACCTACTTTTTACTATAAACTAAAAATTTTTAAAACTAAATTTAACTAAAAAGACTAAACTGACCATTTATTTTTTAACTCATAACAGGACATGGGTTTATTTATACCCTAAAAACTATAACTTTATACAATTAGTGTTCACTATAAAATTATATTCGGTATAGACGGTAATTATTAAATGCAACATATTTTTTTTAAATTATTAATTACACTTGTCAGTGGATTAAATTTGCTTTAATAAAGTTGGTGATGATTTTAAATAAGAATAAAATTCTGCTCAAGTTTTTTATTGTTATCTTTGTTAACAACATCGCCTTTAGAACTCTGGAACCGTAAGTGTTTCTTTCAGACGTCCACAATTTATGCAAAATAAAAAAAATACCGGAGCATTCGTACCAGGTAGACATAAAATATATTCGATTAAAAAAAATTATGTTGAAGATTGTTGACTTTGAATACTTCCATCCAACGAGTTACGGGACAATTTTGTGTCCCGGAGCTTTGTTTGGGGACAATGGGACAGGAGACCGAGAAAAGGGACAGTCCCGTTCAAAACGGGACGTATGGTCACTTTAGCTATAACCCGGCGACCATGAAGCAAATACAAAGTTAGTCTTTGTATTAGCTTCATGGTGGCGCAGTGGCTTAGCAATCAGTTGTTGCGCTGGGGGCCGCGGGTTTGAATCCCGCATGGAACAATATTTGTATGGCCTACAAATAATTGTTCCGGGTCTGGATGTTTGTCTTTGTGCAATTTATGTTTGTAAACTGCCTCCACGACACAGGAGAAAATCCTAGTGTGGGTGTAACGTTTTTTTACAACTGAAATTGAAAGATTGAACCCTTATACTTCTTGTTGATTTTTGTATTTATATATTTTTTATTGCACCAAATATTTGTACAAAAGCCGAGTTATCTATTTATTTACCTATAGTGAATAGGTATCTTTTAAACTCACAATTTTCAATGCTTCCGTTTTAATATATAATTAATTATAAAATTTCATAATTAGATAATATATGAAAATACATAATTCTAATATAATGCAACTAATATATACAGAATAAAAAAATTAAAATACATTTATCTTTGTACGCTGTGTGTATTTCCATAAAATAGTTTATTGATGTTGAAAAAATAATACTACTTTCGTACAATAGGTGGCGTCTTACATATTTCTTCCGGCGAGCCGCTCGCTACAATATATTAATATTGTAGCGAACGGCGCGCCGGTCAAATGCTCAAGGTCGTTCGCATGGAGTAGCCCCTTAATGTGATAACCTAATCGCCACCCAGTATACCAACAATAACAGCTACTTTCCAAGTGTACTGTAAACTTGTTCGTCAAGTTTTGTTTCTCGTCGCTATAATATTATACATAGAGTACAGTTTTTTTTTAAGTGAAAACTTCTTTCGAATCATTGTGATTTGAAACCCGATGAAAAGAAAAAGCGACGCTCAAAGGAGATAAACATATTAATCTATAGACTTAAGCCTGTGAGGGAATGAGATAGAATACGGTATACAGTGGTTCCTATTATCTCTGTCTCCTTTTCTAAAGGTTTCACTTCTACCGCGTGTGAACTGAACACATGTTGTTTTTTTTTTTACTTCCCGTGTTATACTCGTATCAACTATCTTTTAAACGGAGAAAGCGAACCTTGATAATTATTGATTTTAGAAAAGAGCTTTTTTCAGAGGAATCGATTACCACCAGCGATTTTTCCGGACCGATACGACTTAGGGACCTTCAAGAAAAGAGCTTACTCCTTTTTAAAAGGCCGGCAACGCATCTGCAATTCCCCTGGTTCCCCTGGTGTTGCAGTTGTTCATAGGCGGCGGTAATCACTTACCATCAGGTGAGTAAAAGTAATATATGAATCTCCTTGTTTTTAAGCCTTTAAATGTCCAGTGCTGGATCTGCTTTTCCCACTGAAGAATTTCCCGTAATCATGACATATGTACGCACTTAATAATGACTTCAAGTTACTATAAGCTCGTTCTGCGTAGTTCGGACCAAAAATAATTAATTTTAAAGTGAAGGCAGCCGTTGGTTGACTACGACATTGGGACGTCAAATACCTCAGTATTCTCGTGACTATGGGTGCAGTAAATTAAACGTAATTAAATCCTTGAAAACTATTTACATTGCTATATTCAGTACTCACACATAAATCAAACTGACGCGGATACGTAGCGCAGTTTTCTCCGGACACGATACAGAAGCTAAGATCGGGAGTGAGAAGAGGTCCCGGGTTGTTCCTGTCACCATACACAAGCTGTGCCAATTCAAAGGCTGGGTCTATCGAAAAATCTGCTTCCAATTTCCTTTTGCCACTTTCGATTTCTTCCAGGAGTCTATTAACATAGAAGAAATAACATCTAGACTACCCTTGAAAATGTAAAATTTTCATACCATTCACCACCTCATTATCATCATCATCATCATCCCGTGGGTGTCCTAAGGGTCGAAAGAGGAATATTAAATCGGAAGATGGGCAGCAGCGTTTTCCTGATAACAACACAAAATAATAAAAAATTGCGGTTGCGAACCCGCCTGCCAAACGTAGCAATTATTGCAAAATCCTTCCTATGAGGCAATCTACGGAGGAGGCCTATGTTTAGCAGTGGACTTTTATAGGCTGTAATGGATGGATGAATGGATGAATAATATTTCTTTTTATTTTAATTTTCAAGAAGTACCAATTCTTGCACGTCTAAATCGTGTCTAAAATTCGATATATTATCTAACCTGGCTTAACTAAAACTTATTTACCTTCCACCACAGCCCTTCACAAGTCTACAGCTGAACATAGGCCTCCCCTAAGGAATGCCACAAAGCACGGTCCTGAGCCTGCATCCATCTACTTCCTGCATGTCTTACCAGGTCGTCTCTCCTTCTAGTGGGAGGCCGTTCAACGCTTCGCCTACCAGTACAAGGCCACTCCAGAACCTTTCTTCCACATCTTTTGTCGGTTCTTTGTACTATATGGCCAGCCTATTTTCACTTCAGCTTACTACTCTGTAGGGCTATATCGGTCACTCTGGTTCTATTGCGGATATCCTCCTTTCTAAGTTTGTCATGCAGAGAAACCCCGAGAATAGCTCTCTCCATAGCTCGCTGAGCAACTTTGAGCTTCCTTTATACGGCCAGGTGTTAAGGACCACGTCTGAGATCCATAAATCATCACTGGCAAAACGCACTGGTTGTATAATGTCGTTTTCAGGTTTTGAGGTATACCTTACGAGAAGATGTGTCGAACGCTGCCCAGCCGAGTTGAATCCGTCGATTGACCTCTCGGTCGAAGTTGGACTTACCTAGTCGGACTATTTGTCCCAGGTAAACATACTCGTCAACAACTTCGAGCTTAGTGCTCCCAACAACTACCGGCATAGGTGTGACATGGACATTAAACATGATATTATACATATATCCGTTGGGACATACTATTGAAGTCTTTGAGCATAGTGCTTCAGTCCTCCAGCGATTCTGCCATAAGGACTATATCGTCGGCAAATCGAATGTGAGTGATGTACTCGCCATTGATGTTAATACCACATCATTTCCAGTCCAGAAGCCTGAAAACGTCTTCCAATGCAGCGGTGAAGAGTTTCGGGGATATAACGTCACCCTATCTTACACTTCTCTGCAGTTGGATAGGTTTTAAGTAAGTTTTAAGGTATACCAGACGAGAAGATGTGTCGTAATCTCTCTAACGCTGCCCAGTCGAGTTCAATCCGTTGATTGATCTCTCGCTCAAAGTTGTACTTACTTAGTCGGACTATTTGTCCCAGTTATGTTGTTTACCTTTTTACTGTTTTAATCTTTTCACAAACTCATATAATAGTAAAAGAAATGTCACTCACTTTTCCATAAGCTTTATTCGCATTGCGAATCCACTAGCAAAATGTGGGTAAAGAAACCCTCCCTCGTCCTCCAACTCCTCATAAAACATGAAGTGATGGATAATGGTTGGCTCTTCATCACTTAGCGCATAGCCTATCCACATTGTGTCCTAAAATATTTGACAACTGCTTAAAATAATACCAACAATAAAGCTATTAACCTATCTGATAGTTATTTCTATTAAAAAAAAGTAGGATTGATCGTGTTCAACATTCATCGACGCTATCGTAAGGTCGATATTTTATCATCAATATTAGGTCCTCTAAAACATCGATCCATCGATAATGTAAACGAAAATATCGAAAATCGAGGTTTTTTACATTTGGTCTCATTTGCAATCAAAATGAGCCTATATTATAGAAAAATTTGAATTTCTAAACAACTGTTAAAAGTAATTTAATCGTTACATGGATAACAACAGCAAAGAGACCAATGTGTAATTGGTATTGGTATGTGGTATAATGTAAAAATACCTGATGTCCATCAGCCGCAGCCAGCGCTTCAAACAGCTTACCACACCTAACGGCTGTGTGGGGCTCTACGAACAGCACCCACCGGACATCGCTGCCCTTGTATTTTGTCGTGAGGGGTCGTAGTAGGGGTATTATCGTCCAAGCCCCACTTACGGCGAAATCTTCATGTGTGACATATACTAATGGACGTCGCTAAAATAAATTAAAATCTATATAAAAAGTGGCACAACTATTTTTACGGCTCCGTAGCTTGTGCAATTTATGTATGTAAACTGCATCCATTCTACAGAAGAAAATCCCAATGTGGAGGGATAACGTTTTATTGAAATAAGCTTTTATAGGCGTTGCTAGGGCCGGCATCCGGGTCCATCATCAGATCAGCTCCATGGTACCATATTATTATACATTGTCATCGAAGTTCCATTACTATGCCAAAGAACAATGCCAGACTTTCATACATAAAATTAGTTGAGAAGGAATGGTAGCGTCTATATATCAAAATATCTTAAAATGTTAAGCGTCAGTCCCTAAATAACTTTGTCAAAGAATTTTGTCCTGAGAAGGCGTCAAAAAAAAAGATATTTTGATTTGAACCTTTTTAGGTTATGTCTTATGTCACTTGGAAAAAGTCATGCGTCCTGTGGTTGTTTGATGTTAGCTTAATAAATTCTCAACATAATGTAGCTACCTACATAATTGAGAGTTTTTAGATTATTGTATATCTCTATTTATATATTTAATTTACGCTGGTATTCTGTGAGAGCGTAGTCCTATTCCAGCCGAGCCGACCCATTCGTGCTGCAACTATGATACAGCTGCAGCGTGGCTCTACCACGTATTAAAAACGTAAGTGAAACTGGAAAATATCGAGCTTTTTAGCCGGCTTTAAAAAAAGGAGGTTCCCAATATTTTCTCGATATCTACCTCAATTGTGGACCGATTTTTATAACTATACGAGGGCGACACTGAATTTTTTTAGAACTGGCCACTTGTAAACGATATAATAAAAAAAATAAGTACAAATTTTGAAAATGGAACTCTGCCAATATTATTGTGTATTTATTTTATTAATTTGTCATTTATTTACGATTTGGCGGCAAATTGAAAATTGTCTGTGTCACGTTAGCATGAATTTAACTCGAGAAAATTTTCGTACAATGATTTTTTATGACTTTCGATGTCATTTAAGTCAACAAGAAAATTATGATAGACTTCGATTGGCCTTTCACGATGAAGCCCCATCTCGAGCCAATGTTTACAACTGGTTTAATGACTTTAAACGTGGTCGCACTAACTTCACGGATGATCTGCGTGAGGGACGGCCTTCAACGGCGACGACTGAAGATAACATCAGTGTTGTGCGGCGTATGATAGAGACTGACAAAAGAATAACTTATCAGCAGATTCGGATAAGTTTATGCATCGCTTTGAGTCAAGTGTACAAAATCCTTCATAAACATTTATCGGTCAGGAAGCTTTGTGCCCGGTGGATACCTTATAATTTGACAGGGGCCCAAAAACTGCGTCCTGTTGATTGGTGTCGTGAAATGGTTCAAAGATGTAACGGAGGTGACTCAAATGCTGTGTTCGACAGACTTACGGGTGACGAAAGCTTGATTTATTGTAATGATCCTGAAACTAAGAGACAGTCTGCTGTCTGGGTGTTTTCTTCTGAGGAGTTGCCAACTAAAGTGAAGAGAGGTCGAAGCGTGGGAAAAAAGATTGTGGCCTCGTTCTTCGGAAGGACAGGTCATTACGCAACAATTGTTTTAGAGGATCGAAAAACATTTACTGCAGAGTGGTACACTAACAATTGTTTGACACTTGTCTTGGAAAAAGTTCGAGAGAAACGACCTCGCAATAGGATCCTCCTTTACCACGACAACGCCTCGTCGCACACCGCCAAGCAAACATTCGACTACTTGGATTGTTTGCTTGGCGGTGGCCGTGGAATTACTGGGTCACCCGCCCCTATAGCCCCAAACTAGCACTTTGCGATTTTTATTTTTTTTCGAAAATAAAAGAAAAACTTCGAGTAAAACGTTTTATGGACGGCGAGGAAGCAGTGGCTACGATTCAAAATGCCGTCGAAGAGAGCCCCGAGTGGGCAAAGTGTTTTCTCAGTGGTTCCATCAGATACAGCGATGTATTGATGTAAACGGACACTGTTTTGAAAAAATATAATAAAACTAATAATCTGCTAGTTTGATCAGATTTTAATTTTCTAATGGGGTTGTTATAAACTAATTTGCTTAATTCCGCGTAAAGAAAGAAAATGATGTGTCTTGCCCAGTTTTAAGGGGACCTCCCACCCTCCCTCAATTGCGCGCACTATACCCGTCACCGTTAATCCCAGCACTACCACCCCCAGCACAACCACACTAGGCACGACACACCGCTCTCGAAAATACGACACGTGTATCGCCTCTATACGAGGCATCCTCAGGTGAAGTAGACTCTGCGGAGGCTGGCCGCTAAGTTCACTTAGTGCGCGCGATTGGGGGAGGGTGGGAGGTCCCCTTAAAACTGGGCAGGACACATCATTTTCTTTCTTTACGCGGAATTAAGCAAATTAGTTTATAACAACCCCACTATAATGGATTTCCGCAAAGTAACGCCTGATTCTATCAGTCATTTGATTTTCTAATAACTTTCAGTGTCACCCTCGTATACTACAATACGGGCTCTGCGGCCTGAGTACATTGCGTACCTCGTATACTTAAAGAGTGGTGCCATTAAAATTTGGATGGAAAATTCCACTCCTATGGGTAGAAAAATAGGGGATGATTTTTTCGATGTTACTATTTAGATGATATTCTAGTCCACGTAGAAAGAAGAAGAAGAAGTCGACTTCAAAGAACTAAATGTAATAAGATAACATCTATCTAACAGCTTCTGAAGTCGCGGCTTTGATTCTTCTCTACATTATGTTTTAGCACAGACTTCTGAAGCTGTTATGTGGAAATAATTTTACTATTTTTATTTCTCTGAAGGACTGTTATTTTTTATTAATAGTTTAATTATAGTAACTATGAATTTAAAATAATTAAGCTAACCTCTACCTGATTTAATTGCCAAAGTTTCACACAGAGCTACTAACTTATTTACCCGATATACGTATCCATCACCACAAGCACACGCCGCCTAAATTGTTAATAGAATAATGGATACGCTCGTTAAGCCATACGTTTGTGAATATAACAATGTTTGCAATCAAACGCGGATAAATGAAACCGAACATGGATGATATTTGCATATATAGTGCTTATTCGACTAACGTACCTTATTAATTCATGCATATTACGTAATTTCCTGTGAATTAAATTTCGAATTAGAGTACCTGTTTATTAATTAACGGATCCTAGATTCAATATATAATATCTGCCGATATTATATATACCAAATCGAAGCAACAAGACAACTTATAGTCCACCTGCAACCACTTACGTGGTAGAGCCACGCTGCAGCAATATTAGTAGTATAGTTGTAGCACGAATGGGTCAACTCGACCGGGGAAGGACCACGCTCTCACAGAATACCGGCGTAAAATAGCAGCTTAACGCTTCTGTGTTTCGTATGGTGAGTGTAGAGAACCGGAGACCCTTTTTACTGCAAACGAGGCATTCCATCTTAGTCCTCACGACTGACAACGCATCTGCATTTTGATTCGTAATCGAGGATAAATGTAGATGTCTATGGGCCACAGCAACCACTTACCATCAGGTGGACTGTGTGTTCGTTTGTCACCCTTATCCTATAAAAAAAAAACTTAAAACGAGGCTAGCGATCAGTTTTTACCTTTGACAACTAAGATGGAATGGCTCACAGCCTGTATTTATACTGGCCTTTTAAACTATACTCTTCAGACCGAAAGACAGAAAGTGAGAGGAGTTTCTCTTCCGCCGTCACCAGACGACAAATATGATATAATAGTGTAGACCAATTTGCTGCGCCATAACACTAAGCTATGTTATTAATGATTATTTGCTCAAAAACTGTTCCTGGCTTTTTTCACTAGTTTTAATTTTTATTTTAGTTATAATTTAATCTGTACTGCTCGTAGATCGTGTAGTGGCGGTGTAAGAATATATCCTAACCCCACTCATCCCTTGGGTGTCGTTAGAGGCGACAGAGGAAATCTGAACCAGGAGATGGGCAGTAGTATTTTCTTAAAACAAATAAATACTAGACTAAAAACAATAAACTGCATTTACAACCCGCTTGCCAAGCGAGGCAACTATGGGAAATTCTCCCCCTATGAGGCAATCTATGATCCCTAGGCCTATGTTCAGCAGTTTAATTTTGATTGGCTGTTACGGTAAAATAGTAATGGTACTGCTCATAGCACAGAATACCAATGTAAAATAGCAGCTTAACACTGCTGTGTTTCGTATGGTGAGTGTAGAGAACCGGAGACCCTTTTCACTGGAAACGAGGCATTGCATCTCAGCACTCAGGGGTGATAACGCATCTAAGTTTTGATTCTTAATCGAGAATAGATGTAGATGAGCCACAGCATCCACTTACCATCAGGTGGACTGTGTGCTCGTTTGTCACTCTTATCTCTATATATATAAAAAAAATGGCTCGACTGATTTTGATGGATTTTTTTGTGTATTTGAGTTGATCCCTGGATTGTTTAAATACCCAATTGGACCCAGTAGGTGGCGCTGTCGTCGAGATCCAGAAATTATCCGTGCAAAGCCGGGGCGGATCGTTAGTTCTATAATAAAAAGCATGCAAAATAAAAAATAAAATATTTGTCTAAGGTTTGGTATCTTTTAAGTGTGGTTTGTATGCTACAAATAAAGCTTTCTTTATTTCTATATACATACTATACTCGTAATATCTGTCAATGGATATATATAAAAATGAATCGCTGAATGTGTTGCTAAGCGCAAATCTCAAGAGCAGCTGAACCGATTTCACTAATTCTTTTTTTATAATATTCCTTGAAGTACGAAGATGGTTCTTACGGAGAGAAACATTTAAAAAATTGCCTGAAAAAGTCTAAAAACAACACCTTTCTATATTCCCATACAAAGGATTCGTAATAATACTTAAAAGTCAATTTGAACTTTAATACCATAACATAAAGTTTAAGTTTTAGTGGAGGGGTTCCGGGAAGGCAATACAATTGAGTGACGTTAATATCGTATAAATATTAATGTCAATATTTATAAGATTGAAACATTACTCAAAAACAAAATTAGGGTTCCGCGCAAACAAATTGATATCCATGAAATCGTAGTAAATTCCACGCGGGCGAAGTCGCGGGGCACAGCTAGTGCTATATAAAAAGTGTCTACCAAACGCATCGCATACAAAATATCAAAAGCTTTCTAAACTTACACCTTCCAATTCTAAGACTTGTTTCTCAATATCCTGTTCGAGGCGGCTGGCGACACTGGCATGATAAGGTTCACTCTGGCTGACAATCGTGAACACGACATTCCTGGAGTCTGCAACAATAAAAGTGTTTGAAATGACGTTAACTGTATCTTCGTCTGTTCAGCAGCCTCTAAAAGTCCACTGCTAGATGTGGGTGACTCCGGCTGTACGGAAAATACGTCTTTATCGCCACGCTTGGCAGGTGGACTGGCGATCGTAGATCCAGTATGAAAGTAATAATAATAATAATGTTCTTCAGATCGAATTATGTTCACAGCGACCAGTTTCAATGGAGACTATATATATATATATATATATATATATATATATACAGAGTTATAACGCACGATTGTATGAAAAAATTCTGGTTAAATGCTCGATGGCGCTGGCACAGGTGCACTCTCTATTCCCTCACTCTCATAGTCCGTACGGTACTTCGACACGACCGGAGAGAGTAGGCGCAGGGCCAACGGCTTTGAACGTTTTTTCAACGGGTGAAACACCGCCAACTTTTGAGAATTTATTTATTTTTATTTAAAAACTTTATTGTTCTAACCAATAAAAAGGTTACAAAGGGCGGACTTAATACCAGTTGTTATATAGAGAATTTCTTGACAGGAAAACGCAATAACTGATATTTGGCCCGCCCTGGGATTCGAACCCGAGACCTCGTGACCAGCAGTCACGTTTACGAGCATTAGACCAACGAAGCAGTCAAGTGACATACTGGTTAGGATACGAGAAATGAGGATTACACCTTACCTTACATTACACCTTTCTAAAAGGTCGGCAACGCATCTGCAATTCCCCTGGTATAGCGGTTGTTCACGGGCGGCGGTAGTCACTTACCATCAGGTGAGCCGCCTGCTCGTTTGCCCCCTCTTCTACAAAAAAAAACCACGTAGTGAGTTCTGTTTTCGAATTCCAACAGTAGTTAACATTTCAACCCACAAGCCTATCAAAATTTTATACGTGGCAGAGTCGTTCATTAAAAGTCAAACTTTTCGTTCTAATTTACTACCGTACTAAGTCTAGTTACGAACTTCTTGACCCAACGGCAAGCACTTTTTACAATACATATACCTAGTCAGGTCATAAATTCTATCACATGTTTAATATAAAATAATTGAAACAAGTTTATTCATTATATAACCATTTATATACCAAAATGAACTTAACAAAACATAGACGATTCTTATGACACTAAAGTTTATTCAAAATGACCTCCGTGATTTTGAATACAGGCCTTCCATCTGCGCGGCCAGTCGTCTATCGCACCACGAACGAGGTCCATGTCAATATCGGCGGCTGCCTTAATCAAGGATGTCTTGAGTGACTCCAAATTGGGATGAGGCTTTGAGCACGCCTTTTTCTCCAAGTGTTGCCATATCTTGTAATCTAACGGATTCAAATCTGGACTGGAGGAGAGCCAATCTTCGTGCCGGATGAAGTCGATTTCACGCGCCGCCAGCCAGTCTTGTGCTCTTCGCTCTATGAACTGGCGCCGAATCTTGTTGGAATACCCAGTGCCTGTTATTGAACATGGTATGAGAAACAGGTTCCACAAGGTTCGTCAGGACTGTATTTTAATACACAACTGCGTTCGTTTTTACACCTTTCTCACAAAAATGTACCTCTGTTAAGCCCCAATAAGAAACTCCCAACTATAACATGAGCGAGGATGGAAAATGGCCTCGTTGGACACGCGGAATACGGTTGCTCGCTTCTTCACTACTGGGTGCGTACACCTTATCATTTTGTTTATTGCAGCTCTCTTCTACGGTAAAAATTTTTTCATCCGAAAAAAGAATTTCCCGATATATTTTTACCCGCGTACCGCTTCAACAAGGCGCGGCATATCTTCAGTCTCAGGTCCATTAGACGAGCATTCAAACGATGTCCTGTTTTTCTTCGATATGCCCCAGGCCCTAAGTCTTCATTTAACACCCTTTTCACCGCGGTTCTGCTTAACCCCATCTGAAGGGCCAACAGTTTCTGCTTACGTTTGGGATTTCTTTGAATTCGCGCCTTCACAGCTTTTATCACTGCTGGAGTCCTAACGGACCGAGGGCGACCACTTCTTGACCTGTTATCTACACTAGAGTCTTCAGTGTATCGTTTGATGGTACGATAAACGAATCTTTTGGTTATATTCAAATTTTTCAGTATGTCGAAAATTTGAATTGGCGCGTAACCGCAACGATGCAACGCAATAACTGCAACACAGTCTTCTTTAAGCGTCCACTCCATATTTAAAAATGAGTAAAATTCTAAAAAGTATACAGTTTTATTTTCATGAACAATTCGAAATTCGAATTCAATAAACTTTTTTGTGGCCAGCATTCTAAAAGAAAAGTTTTTACTGTGTGACAATACTTATGACCTGACTAGGTATAAACACTCACTCCCATCACCCAGAGGCAGACTACGGACTTCCATTTGGCACGATCCTGACACACCTCTCTTTTTATAATGTACCAGTCTATTCTACTCGTATGTTGAAACGTGGTAGAGCCATGCTGCAGCTATATTGATAGTATAGTTGTAGCACGAATGGGTCGGCTCAACCGGGGAAGGACCACGCTCTCACAGAATACCAGCGTAAAATAGCAGCTTAATGCTGCTGTGTTTTATATGGTGAGTGTAGAGAACCGGAGACCCCTTTTTACTGCAAACGAGGCATTCCATCTTAGTCCTCACTGGTGACGACCCATCTGCATTTTTTTAATATAAAATTAATTCGTAATCGAGGATAGATAGCAGATGTCTATGGGCCACAGCAACTATTTACCATGTATAAAAAAAAACGTGTTTTATAATTTACAATTTGAAACATACGAGGGCTGCACTAAAAGTATCGGGAATAGAATATTTCCACTGTTCCTGTTATATAAAATCTTTTTAATTGAAAACTCCTTGGTTTTCAAAATCGAATACCATTTATTTACTTAAAAAAAGATTCTCGGTATTGCCACAAGGTTTTATCAAACTTGTTTAGTCGTTGAGAAAATGGAATTGACTCGAGAAAATTCAAGAGCGATGATTTATTATGACTTTCGAAGTGGTTTAACACAAAAACAGTGTGTTGACCGGATGATTTCTGCATTTGGTGATGAAGCCCCATCCAAAAACACAATTTATCGCTGGTTTGCTGAATTTCAACGTGGACGTGTCAAGCTCAGTGACGATCCCCGTCAAGGTCGTCCAAAAACTGCAGTCACCCAAGAAAACGTTGATGCTGTGCATAAGCTGATTGAGTAAGATCGACATGTGACATACCGCGAAATTCAGGCAACTTTAGACATTGGCATGAGTCAAATACAAATAATCTTGCATGAACAATTAGGTGTAAAAAGTTGTTTTCCCGATGGATACCGCATTCGCTCTGTGTAGAGCAAAAAGCGGCTCGCGTTACTTGGTGCGTCAGAACTCTCGAAAGATTCCACGCAGGATCCTCAAATGCTGTATACAACATCGTATCAGGTGACGAATCCTGGATATACGCGTACGAACCCGAAACAATAAACCAGTCACGAGTTTGGGTGTTCGAAAATGAGTTAAAGCCAACAAAAATTGTTCGTTCACGGAGTGTTGCAAAAAAAATGGTGGCCACGTTTGTCTCTAAAACCGGCCATATTACGACTATTCCTCTTGAGGGACAAAGAACGGTTAATGCAGAATGGTATGCTAGCATTTGTTTGCCACAGGTCGTTTCTGAACTCCGTAAAGAGAACTGCAACCGCCGCATTATCCTCCATCACGACAATGCGAATTCTCACACCGCACACAGAACAAAAGAGTTTTTAGAGCAAGAAAACATAGAATTATTAGACCATCCGCCGTACAGCCCCGACCTAAGCCCTAATGATTTCTATACTTTCCCTAAAATAAAGAATAAATTGCGTGGACAGAGATTTTCATCACCTGAAGAAGCTGTGGACGCCTACAAAACGGCCATTTTGGAGACCCCAACTTCCGAATGGAATGGTTGCTTCAATGATTGGTTCCATCGTATGGAAAAATGTGTCAAATTTCGCGGAGAATACTTAGAAAAGCAATAAATACATTTTTAAATAGTAATCTTGTGTCACTTCCTTGATTCCCGAAATTTTCAGTGCCACCCTCGTAAACGCAATTACAACAACTTTTAGAAATCCAAAATAGAAATATTAAAATTATTATCACAGAAATATAATTGAAATGTCTGTCTGTAATATCAAAATAACTGCCTTTTACTGAGCTGAGGGGGTGAGTTATTTGAATGCCTATAATATGAACAAGCATTTTTTTTATATAATTATCTGTCTGTCTGTCCTGAAATTTCATGAATAGATTGTGATCAAGGCTATATTTTATCCGAAAAACTGGAAGTTTTTTTGAGAAATCGAAAAATAGATAAAATAAATGTTTTTTGATGATTAATCTTAATACTGACACATCAATAGATCTTACACAGGCAAAGCCTGGGCGGGTCGCTAATAATACACAATACGAAATTGGAACGAAGTTCTTTATCGGACGGTACCTACGAATTTGGCGGATGGGGGCTAGGTGACAAAAAGTGTAAGAGTTTTCCGTCACGACCCTTTCTATAGTGTTCTATTTTAAATGACGCTTCATTTTAATAACCGTTTTTGACAGTGGTAGAGCCACGCGACAGCTTTTGCTGTCGCACGGATGGGCCGGCTCAAACCGGGGTGGTACCACGACCTCACAGAATACCAGCGTGAAGTAGAGGTTTACCTCTGCGTTTCGCTCGGTGAGTGCAGGTGGCCGGAGGCCCTTTTTACTGGAAAAGAGGCATTCTACCTTAGTCCTCACGGGTGACAACGCATCTGCATTTTGATTCGCAAACGAGGATAGATGTAGATGTCTATGGGCCACAGCTACCACTTACCATCAGGTGGACTGTGTGCTCGTTTGTCACCCTATCCTACAAAAAAAAATAACCGCTAGTAATTCATTTATTTGTATTTGTCAATCAATAATATAATACGTTTATCAATAACAATATACTACGAAAGGAACTTCGTTCCAACCGATTGTTCCGCGACACTCACGCATGTTTGATTAATAATGGAAATATATTGATAAAGAATTAAGATTATAATAATATATATTTTTCATTAATTCAGCCTATCAAAAGCCCACAGCGGATGATAGACCTCCACCATAGATTGCCTCATAAAGGGTAAATTTGCCATAGTTGCCACGCTTGGCAGGCGGGTTGGCAACAGTTTTTTTTTTTGAGGAAGATGCTGCTACCCATCTTCTGTATCATGTTCCTCCGCCACCTCTTATGACACCCACGGGATGTGAGAATTGTGGATTGTCTTCCGTCGCCACTTCACCACAAAAACATATACATATATAGTTTTACATTGCTAGTTCAATTATTATATCTATTGAAAGTCTTGAACGCCAAGCAGAGTTTACATAATTGAAAAATTAAAAACTCGAATTTTGTTCGGCTTCAGTTATCTCGCCTAATTTTATATAGAACGTAAAAGATAGAAATTTCTAATTTCAAGATAATCGTTGCAAAAATCCTATTATACATTGAAAGTTTTCTTATTGAGTTTAAATGAAAATGGCGGTTAAAACAAAGATGAGAGATGAGAAGTTGAAATTATTAAAATAGAGTTAAAAGCGATAATCTTTTTTGTTCCAACTCAAATAAGCATTTGAGGTCCGGACGTTGGGAAATTTCAAGTTAGTTCAATTATTTTTATCAAATATTTTTGCGACTGCCCTGAATTTCCCCAAACGATAAGTTTAAATTTTTTTTTATGTTTCTGTAAACCCACTGTGTGACACGTGGACTACTTGATAACAATAACAAAACACTATTACAAAATACACGGATGACCCAATACGTCATATATACAACATGTAACAAAAACCCTGTGGTTCCCGTCAAGTACGTTATCAGGATCAGTATTCAAACCTATAGAAATAACTTTTATTTAAAAACTCGACCATATTTTTTTTTAAATTTTATTCATAAAACTTTTTTTAATTTTATGTGGTTATATTACCTCTTACTGACACTAGCCGATGCTAAAGCTAAGTAAAGCGGGGTCTTTGACTATCCTCTTACTCCCCAGGCAATGCAGAGGTGATAAAACCACATACAATTATTTTTTTTAAATAAAATAACAAAAATATTGTGCGAGTTTTTAAAAAAAGTTATTTCTATACATTTGAATACTGATCCTGATAACGTACTTAACGGGAACGACACGGTTTTTGTTACATATTGTATAGTAAATCTCATAGTTTTTTTTTTAATTAGCTGAATTAAAAATATAAATGGCCGAATTATAAAACGTATTTTTCTGAATATTTAATCAATCAATGTGTCATTAAACTATTTTATTACTTACCGAAACATGTGGCTAAATCGATGAATACAAAAAGCAGCAATAAATGCATAACTGTAACAAAAAAAAACTTAAATTTAAAAAAAAACTCAAATTAAAAATGGTTCTTAAATAAAATAATTTAATTCTGTTCTTATTATACGAAACTTCTCGATAATATATGATAAATTTATGACACTCTTATATACTTTTGTATATTAATTCTATAGGAAAACTAACTCGCGCTCTTGCGTATATTTCAGCGGAAAGTTAGCGGCAGATCTACTGACGACGCGCGTGCACCACCCCTAACGTTCCGAACGTTACTGAATAACATTATCATCCCTTAACCTCATCCTTTATTCCTTTACCTTCTACTTAGTTACGAATAACTGTTACAAATCTGAAACCAATCTGTTGAACAAGATTTCGTGTAAACTTTCAGAGGAAAATATTACGCATGGTACATTAACTTGCATTTGACTTAAGTAAAACATATTAAAACATATATTATGATAGTTATGTATTTTTGTGTATCATTTAAAAAAAAATAACAACGCAACCAAATTGACCATGAAACAAAAAATAAATTAAGCTAATATGTCATTAGTATTTACACGTGGTATAGATCTGCTAGGTGCAGCTCTATGCAGTTATTATGACTGTACAAGAATGGGTCCGCTCGACCGGGTAAGGACCACGCTCTCACAGAATACCAGCGTAAAATAGCTGCTTAACACTGCTGTGATTCGTATGGTGAGTGCACTCACCAAGCGAAATGCAGAGGTAAACCTCTACTTCACGCTGGTATTCTGTGAGGTCGTGGTACCACCCCGGTTCGAGCCGGCCCATCCGAGCGACAGCAAAAGCTGCCGCGTGGCTCTACCACTATTAAAAAAAGGAAAACTACGAAGAGAACTACGCTTTAATACCATTATGTTTCTATTTTAATAAAGTCATTACAGTACATAGAACACATTTGGAATATGAAGAAAAAGAAAGCATGAGGCCAACATTAACGTCAAGCTAATTACATAAGTGTGAAACATTCAGCGTGGTAGTTATTATACAAGAATATAGCGTACCTAGGAGATGTAGTAGCTCAGGGGTAAACGCTCGCTGTAAATTTCACAGTAGCAAGCAACGCAGGTTTGAACCCCACCCGCACCAATAAAACTGTTGACTGCAATTTAAGTGCTGATTTACCACATGCTCGACGGTGAAGGAAAACATTGTGACGAAACCTGCACGTCTTAGAAATAAGAAATAATTTATATTTCGAAGACATGTGAAGTTCACCAACAAGCATTGGGGCAGCACGACAGACATTTCCTTGCCCTAAAACCCTCTCAGAAAAGAGAGGAGGTCTGTGCTCAGCAATGGGACGTATATAGGCCCTAACTTTAACTTTTGTAGCATACCTAAATCAATTTCATATTATACTTCTTAAATAGCAACATTCTACAATTTTTTTTAATGTAATATGTGGGTCGCCTATGATATTGAAATACAGTGGTCACAAAAATATTAAAAGAATTAATTAACAATAAACTTCACTGCTGTGTATACTTTCATGGTATATTTTCTAGGACTTTGTTGTAATAGCATCTACATGAATGAATTACTGACTCTGTGGAGTCATCAAACTGGTATGTCTAGCTTGTATTTCCTGGTGTTTAAGGAGTGTATATCACTTATTTTATTAAAATTACTTTTGTTTTTGTGAACAATGTTAATGAAATAAAAAAAACGTTAAATTTAGAATACTAAAGTTAAACCAATGCACTAATTGTGTTATAGCATTATTCACTTCATCATGTTTCTATGATTGTCAATTGATTAAGTTTATAAATTAATGAAATCATCAGCAAATAATACTATATATCATGATTATCCCCTACAAGGAAAGGTAAGTCTAATAGTATATCTAACTAAGAGTATAGACTTTAATAAGGAATGGGCCGAAAATAAACTGATGAACACTGTTTACAGATGACCAGGAAGAGCTTTTTTACAATAATATATTGATAAAATAACTTTCTGCACTCTATTACTGAAGTGTGAAGTGATAAGTAAGCACTATGGTATCAAGAACATAGCGCTACTCATGGTGAACACAGTAGGAGACCTTGGAAAGGTCACAAAATCATAAATCGTAAAACTAAATTGATATTATGTATGATAAATTGATAGGATGTTTGTCCTTGTGCAATTTATATTTGTAAACTGCCTCCACGATACAGGAGAAAATCCTAGTGTGGGGGTAACGTTTTAAAAAAAAAATTATTGTTATAAAATTAAAATTATGAATCCTAAATTAGCCCTCATTGTACATATACAAAGCCTGCTTATTTGTCAAAATAAGCAGGCTTTGTGTATTGTAATTTACATTATTTTAACTCACACATTGCTAAGCACCCAAGGCAAACAAGGAATAATGTTACTATTCTACCATTTCACAGATCTAGGATAGCCTTTCTCTCAAAAAGTTTTTATGCATTAGGACCAAAAATATATAATCATTTACCTGACAAATTAAAAGATTTAGAAATAAAAAAAAATTTAAGAATAAATTATTAGAATTATTGACTGAAGATGTTTTTTACTCCTTATAAGATTATTTGAGCTACAAACTTACATTCTAAATTAATTGATGAAGTATTAAAATCACTATGTTTTAGTTATAAGCCCACATGTATTTTGACATATTAATATTCCATTCTTATACTTAGATTATACTGGCATAATTACATTGTATTTTTGACATTATTATTTATTGTTCATGTTTGTTGAAATATCTCATTGTATGACATTATAACTTGTTATCCATTTTTGTTGATTTGATTGAATGATTTTTTTTTATAAGATAAAGGTGACAAACGAGCATGCAGCCCACCTGATGGTAAGTGCATGCTGTGGCCCATAGACATCTGCATCTATCCTCGATTACGAAAGAAAATGCAGATGCGTTGTCACCCATGAGGACTAAGATGGAATGTCTCGTTTCCAGTAAAAAGGGTCTCCGGTTCTCTACACTCACCATACAAACACAGCAGCGTTAAGCTGCTATTTTACGCTGGTATTCTGTGAGAGTGTGGTCCTTCCCCAGTCCATTCATGCTACAACTATACCAGTAATACAGCTACAGCATGGCTCTACCACGTTTGAATAATGAGATAATGTTTTAAGTTCCATGATTTTAATAATATTGTAAGCCTTAATCTAGGCAGGTTGTGGTGCTATTACTTGCATTGTTAAATCTCTTAAACCTACAACTAGCGCAATAAATGACTTATTCTATTCTATTCTAAAAACCTTAACACCTGATGTATTTTTTTAATTTTACTTAATGCTGATAGTACAGAATGTGGTCTAAAAGTGATGGTGTCTAATTTATTTAAAACTCAGACGTACAAACATAGATAGACGCTGCATACATTTCAAGTGATGCTAAAACCGTGCCCAACTTCTTGACACACACAGGGACATATCTTAATTCTTTCTTTCAGTTCTTTATCAGCCCATAAAAGTTCACCGCTGGACGCACAAATATGCACCTAAGGCATATTGCTGCTTGCAAATTATTTTAGAAACATTTATAGATATATGTGCGAGTTGCTACAATGTTAAGCAAGGTTTTGGGTTAGGCTTAGCGTCACTAGGCCAGCACGTACGCAGCGCTCCGTCTTTTTAATAAAAACAATTTTCTTACCTATAAAAACTCTCACTTCACTTTTCCTATTTAAAATATGAACTAAGTTCAAACGTAATATTTAGATTAAATAAGTTATTATTGGCATTTATGGTATTCTGCTCAAAATTTAAATTTTATTAAAAGTAGCCACAAAAATCACTGATATGGAACTATATATGTATTGAAGGTTATAATTTATAATACATACTAATAAACAATAACAAAAAATTATTATATTTAAAATGTTATAATAAGAAACTGAAACTCATATTATTATTATTGTTATTTATACTATAGAGTAAAACTGAAAACTCAAGATCAAAACTGAAAGTAAACAAAAACAAAACAAACAATCAAAACAATTTGACATTTGATTTGACAGTTTTTTCTTTTCCTTCTTTGGTAATGAATTCGTACGATTGTACTTTTGCCCGTGTTAATTAATAAGAAATTATCTAATTTAATAACATGTATAAAAAATGTCACGTTACATTACATTGTGAAGTTTTTCGATGATTCCGAAGGCAATTTGAGCCAACAGACATTCGTTGATGTTTGTATCGCAAGAGCAAAGCACCGAAGCAGAGACATTATCTTGAGGTTCACATCTGAGCACTAGTTATCACCTGTAGTTCACATACGCAGACATCAAACTACTTTTACGTACCAAAATCTTCTTAAAATTAAGTAATTAATAATACAGGAGCAACAATCCGCCGATGGTTAAGTGTCCACCAAAACTCACCAAGGCAGACAAAGACAAGGCCATATATTCTCTTCTAATATGCTTTACATTGCGAAGTTCATAGAAGATTTTGATGACAGCTTAATGCAGCAGATTAATGACGATAATATCTCAAGTCTCGTAAGCGGAAAAAATAACCATAGATTTATATCACCATTTAAGCACATATTAAATCGCTTCCACTAATATTTCACAAACGCAGAATTTTATACATAAAATCGCAATAATTTTACATATCACAATTCATTTCAAATCTTTATTTAAATCATAAAAGAGGAACAACAATACACCAGTGATCAAATTCCCGCCAAAACTCCTGACATTCAACAAAAAACAACGTAGATGATCTTGGATCTCTCCTAGACCGTAGATGGAGGCAAACGTAAAGGGCCGAAAAAGATCTACAACACGCGTAAATCAACATAATGTAGCTGACGTGAAGCGGCTCTGTCGGGGAAGGACCACGATCTCACAGAATGCATACAAGGGTGGATCCAAGATTTATTTTTGAGAAGGGCACATGGGCCATGGGTCAAGTGTCCCTCATAATTTTGTACTATTTTGTTTTTGCGATCAATTCATTGTCAATGAAATACAGAAATAACTATAAATTAAACATACCTAAGATTAAATAATGAGAAATGACATGTTTTTTAGAGATAGCTTTCTTTTATGTTTTCTGCTGAATATATCAAGTACTTCTCCAGCGTTCAAATTCGTAGCAATCTCTTTCTTTAAAAATATGCATTAAGCCCAATACATTTAGACAATCTTCTCTCATACTGCTGAGAAGATATGTCTTCAACTAAAAATTGCTCGGCAGTGCTGGTTGTCAGATGAAACGTGCACAATAATATGCAGTTCTTATATTTGGCAGAGCCGTTGCACTTTTATAGGCATCTGCTGGTGTTTTGAGGATATTTTCTCCCATCTATTGTCAAATTTGTCAACTCTTTATATACTTCAGCATACCTGCAAAACATTATGAGTTGCAATATATTCCTGGAAGACATGGCAAGACTCCAAAAATGACAAAAATGCTTTATGCCATTCTAATCATCTAGTTTCACAGATTTTTTTAATGTAATAGGTACCTATGAAATTGCCGTTCTACAGTACTGGCCATTTAATCTAATTTGAAATTAGTTTTATTTTAAAAACATGGGGTTCTCATTTCAAAATCATAGTCATATGTTTATTGATTAGCGTTATGTTTTTATTTGAACCTTTTTCGTTATAGACACGTTAAAAATCAAGTAATTATGGAATATGAGTATCGTCGTGGCAGCAACGCAGCAGAAGCTGCACGCAACAACAACGCATCACCTGTTATTGGTTTGCCCGCTTTAATTTGAGAAATTTCGACCTCAAAAATGAACCTAGTGGTTGTACGAAATTTTTGGTCAACAATGACGAATTAAAGGCGATTGTGGAAGTTGATGATACTCAATCTACGGCTGAATTAGGATAAGCTTTCGACGTTAGCATTAAAACAATATTGGTCCAATTGCGTCAAACTGGCAAGATAAAAAAGCGTGACAAATGGGTACCCCACGAACTCAATAATAGCCAGCGCGGAGTACGCGGCGAGACCTGCATTGCACTGCTCAAAAAGCACACAAACGAAGGAATTTTGAACCACATTGTCACCTGCGACAAAAAATGGATTCTGTTTGACTATCGCAAGCGCTCAGCAAGTTGGCTGGATCCTGGCTTGCTGCCCGAACAAATGCCTGCGGTTTTACCGAACAATGCCCTAAATGAAACCTTACCCCTAGAAAAGTGATGGTCACTGTTTGGTCGCCTACCGCCGCTGTGATTCATATGTTCTTACCAAACGGTATGAACATTACCTACTGTATAGATGTGTACTATGAAGAACTGAACTGAACATAATGATGGAGAAGCTCGCATGTTTCGAACAAGTTTTGGTCAATCGCTTGTCCCCGCTGCTCAAACTACACAACAGACGGTTTCCAGATTACAACAGCTGGGGTTTGAAGCTTTTCATCATACGCCGTATCCACAAGCCCTTGCACCTACAGACTTCTACATTTCCAGAATTTGGAACTCTTTATGCCTTTGAAGAATTTGTTGCCTCCCAACCAGCTGATTTCTTCAAGAAGGGCATCAATAAACTGCCACTGTATTGGCAAAGATGCATCAATTGCATATGCGATTACATTGATTAATAAAAATAATAAAATATAGAAAGAAATTACGCTAACTTTTTTCATAAAAAATGGCAATTTCATAGATAAAGACCTAATTTTTTTTGGCACTTGAGCTTGCATTTCTTCTCTGAGGAGATGAATTTATTTAGCTGACTCATGAAAGAAGGTATATTTGAGACAACCCCCACAGCACTTCTTAAGCTGGGTACGGTGCATGCTGTACTAATAGTTAAATTGAGTCGATGGTTTGTACAATGGGTGAAAAAAAGCTAAAGGCTGAATGTTGGTTATGAACGCCTGTACACCTTTTATTTTATTACTTATCTTAGCTCCACTATGTTGCTCACTAGATCCGCCCTTGAATCCTCAGCGATGATAACCCATTCTGAATTTATTTCTTAACTGAGGATAAATGTAGATATCTATGGGCCACAGCACCCACTTACCATCAGGTGGACTGTGTGCTCGTTGGTCACCCTCATTCTATAAAAAAAAAACCAACGCTCCGGGAAGTCTATGATCATCTCCTAAGCTACCCCGCCATTACATCGGATTTGCCTTTTTGACACATTCTGATTTCCCACAATATAGTGAACAACCCCATTAACGCTGTGCCTTGCGTTCACTTGCCGCTCTATATCATTATCATATTTATCATACCTGATAAATATTATCCCTGCTAAATAGAAAATTTGTAAATTATTAACTATTTAATTCCGTAAGTTCACTAAATACGCTTCAAACTTAAATTTATACATTCCAATCTAGGTCATTATAACTACAGAACAGAGTATTGTTGAGCGCTACCATTAATGTATGGTAAATGGCAACAAAAGTTAGTGGCAAGATCCTTCTCAAAATTTCCATGGAAGAACTTTATAGAACTATCGACACCTAGTCTTTTTTTTATAGGAGAGGGGGCAAACGAGCATGCGGCTCACCTGATGGTAAGTGACTACCGCCGTCCATGAACAACTGCAACACCAGGTGAATCGCAGATGCGTTGCCGGCCTTTTAAAAAGGAGTACGCTCTTTTCTTGAAGGTCCCTAAGTCGTATCGGTCCGGAAAAATCGCTGATGGTAATCGATTCCACAAGGAGGTCGTGCGAGGAAGAAAACATCTTCTAAATCGCACAGTGGTGGACCGCCAATCATCCAGATGGTGTGGATGGTATCGGGAGTTCTGCCGCGATGTGCGTTCGTGAAATTTGGCGGCTGGGATTAATCCGAACAATTCCTCAGAGCACTCCCCATGGTAGATGCGAAAGAAAATGCAAAGGGATGCAACATCTCTTCGCAGTGCCAATGAATCGAGCCGATCGGAAAGGGCTCGGTCGTCGACAATTCGAGCCGCTCTGCGTTGGATGCGGTCAAGTGGAAGGAGCTGGCACTGGGGGGCCCCTGCCCAGAGATGGGAACAGTATTCCATGTGAGGCCGAACTTGCGCCTTGTAAAGTAGCAGGCGGTGTGCCGGCATGAAATACTGTCCCGCTCTGCTGAGCACGCCAAGCTTTTTAGAGGCCAATTTGGCCTTCCCTTCCAAGTGACCACGAAACTGCACGTCACTCGATATGTCGACTCCGAGGATACCGATACTGGCTGAGGCAAGAAGGGGAGTGCCTTGAAACTGAGGAGATACGACAAAGGGGTTCTTTTTAGCGGTAAACGCGCAAACTTGTGTCTTCTGAGGATTAAATTGGACTAGATTTAGTCGCCCCCAATCCGAGACTTTGTTCAGCAAAGACTCGACTTCAGACACAAGTTTGTTCCGGTACTCAGCGACGTTTTCCCGAGAAATATTGGCACGGCCGGTGTATAGAGCATCACCAGTGCTGTCATCCGCATAGCAATGAATGTTACCAGTTAGCAACATATCATTGATATGCAGAAGAAACAGCGTTGGTGATAGCACACAGCCTTGTGGAACACCAGCGTTAATAGGCTTGTAGTCAGAGCATGCACCGTCTACAACGACCTTGATGCTCCGATCTGCAAGGAAGCTGGTGATCCAATTGCACAATTTCTCGGGAAGCCCATAGGAAGGGAGCTTCGAAAGAAGCGCTTTGTGCCAAACCCGATCGAAGGCCTTCGCAATGTCCAGACTAACGGCCAACGCCTCCCCCTTGGACTCTACTGCCTCCGCCCATCTATGGGTCAGGTAGACCAGAAGATCACCAGCTGATCGACCCCGACGAAAACCATATTGGCGGTCACTAATCAGCTGGTGATCCTCAAGGTACCGGATGAGCTGGCAGTTAATAATGGATTCCATTATTTTGGAGAACAAGGAGGTGATCGCGATAGGCCTATAGTTGGATGGGTCTGAGCGGTCGCCTTTTTTAGGGATCGGGTGGACAAAAGCTGTCTTCCATGAATTCGGGACTACGCCTTGGGAGTAGGAGTACCGGAAAAGACGCGTTAGGACCG